GTCTTCCACGGCTGCTTACCCAGATTCCTTCCCAAAGGTAAGACCACGGACTTCCCCTTATTTGTGGCCAGGCTGGATTCCCTCTCGAGTTTCTCCAACAAATCCTCTGCTCGTGCAATCTTATCCTTCCCTTCCCAGACGAGTGTTGTGCCGTCTGCGTACCCCAGGTACACCAGCCGCTGCCCTTCTCCAGCTATCCCCAACCTCCGCTTCAGAGCTTGCTGCGCGAACGGCTCAACCGCACAGAGGAAAAGGGAAGGAGCCAGGGGACACCCTTGCTGTACCCTCGACATCACCTCTACCGCATCACCCAGCCATCCATTTACTAACAAGCGCGCCTGCTTGTTCTCATGCAGACCCCTGATCCAGCCCACAAACTGAAGGGGAAGCCCATCCTCTCCAGCACTGTGAACAGGACATTTCTGGAGATCGAGTCAAAAGCTTTTTTAAAACCCACCAGCAAGAGGTACCAGTCCTCGTTCATATTCCTGGCTGCCTCGATGACGTCCGCAACCAGCCCCACCACGTCCGACAACTTCCTGCTTGGTAAGAAGCCGTGCTGCTCCGACGAAATCACCTCATGCAACACTCGTTTCATCCTGCCCGCAATTGCCCACGCCAGCACCTTGTAGGATGCGCTTAGCAACGTAATCGGCCGGTAGTTTTCTAACAGCTCCTTCTCCCCTTTCTTGTGAAGCAAGATGGTGACTACTTCCTTTGTGCTCGTGGGAAGCGGCGACCTGGCAAAGAAGTCAGCAACCATTTTCATGAAGTGCGTGCCCCGGACGTCCCAATGCTCCTCAAACAACTCCTTCAGCAGCCCATCCTACCCCGGGGCATTGTTCTTAGCCATCATACAGAACGCGCGTTTCACCTCCTCCTCCGACCAATCCACCGCCAGCCCTTCCGTGGATGCGAACGACAACTTTTTCCCCGCCGCCGGCTTTCAAGTTGACAGCGTCCACTGCTTGTCTCTGCCAAAGATGCCTTTGAAGAAGGCTGAGGCCGCCGACAGAATCTCCTGATTACCTGTTACTGCCTTCCCACCAACGTTCAGCTCCGTTATTTGTGTACTGACTTTCCGTGCTTTGATCCTTGCTAACAAGACCGGTGCCGTCACTTCTCTAAAAAGCTCCTCCTGCACCCCTGCCATCATCTGCAGGCAGTCCTGCTGCAACCGCTGATACATCCAGAGCTGTGAATCCCGCTTCGTCAGAAGGCCCCTTATCCTGGCACAGCCTGGATCCTTTAGCGACTCCTGCATATGCTTCGACACCGTATGATAGAGGTGCGTGAAGGTAGCCCATACATGCTTCCTCTCCTCCGTTAAATAAGCTTTCAAACCTACATTGAGCATGTCCATCAGCAGCTCACAACCTTTTCCTCATCTCTGCGCCAGGTTCACCGCCGCTTCAATCACCTTCCGAGCCCCAGGCTTGTCAACCATATTCACCGGTATCGCCAGAGGCCTGGCCCCGTCAGCACCTGTATCTTTAGACGAAACGCCACATTAACCGCGAAACTGTGGTCGGAAATTGGATAAGACGGCATGATGTGAGAAGCGATCTCCAGATGGGTGAGTAACGACTGCGAAACCAAAGCACGATCAATGCAGGAACTAGTCTGGTAGGTGTGAGCGTAGAAGGTGTACTCCCTCTGATTTGGGTGCAAGACCCTGAAAGCATCAAAGAGGTTAAAAACTCCATTTCGCTGATACAACTGAGCATTCTCCCTTGTGGACCCTTTCCTTGACGTTTTATCCAGCAGAGGATCTTCCACCAAGTTCAGATCCCCCATTATCAATCACCGGTTCCAGAACACTACCGATAAACCGCTTCCTTTCGGTCGCATCAGCCGGGAAGTACACCACGATGAGGGTAATGTGTGAAGAAGTGAGGAATGATTGACTAAGGGGAAAGGTTGGGTACAAGTACAAACCCTAGAAATATGTTGTACATGTCAGTAGATCTGCACTGTGGATGACCGATTGATCCTGGAGAGGGTTACAGGCGCGTTCGCCTGGGAGGTTATGGGCGCACTGACCCGCTACTGAAACAAGCCCTTTTATCCCAATGGTCTAGTGGTTGGGATTCTGACATGGTATCAGAGCGGTCTCGGGTTCGATTCCCGGTGTATGCACATGTAGGCCGTTGCCGCTGTGCTTAGTCCTGGGCCTCCCAGTGCGGGGGGGTGTCAGTAGATCTGCACTGTGGATGCCCAATTGATCCTGGAGAGGGTTACAGGCGCGTTCGCCTGGGGGGTTATGGGCGCACTGACCCGCTACTGAAAAAAGCCCTTTTATCCCAATGATCTAGTGGTTGAGATTCTGACAGTACCCCATATGTGCTACCCCACTATAGCCTACATAGGCTAAGTCATATAAGCCTCACACACCCCCATAGGCAAAGTGGGGGAGAACAAGGGGTCACAAGACCAGTCAAGCAAAGCAAAGCAAGCGTAGGGTGGATCACAACGTCACCACACATTCCGAGCACAAGTTCAAGGCCACAAGGCCAGTTCACATGCAAGATCATATATAAAGGTAAACAAGCAAGTGCAGGTATAGAAAGATCACAGTACAAACAAGGTCAAGAAGTGAGGAAGTGAGGCCAAGTAGGCTCAAGACCTAGCATCGTACAGCAGCGCTAATGATCACAAGGCGGAAGTGCCTTGGTAAAGATATCAGCAATGTTGGCCTCAGAGGCCACGTAAGCAAGGCGCAGCTGACCACGCTGCTGCAGCTCACGAGCAAGGAAGTAGCGCAGAGCAATGTGCTTCGTTCTGTGCTCTAGTCTGTGCTCCCGACACAAGGCCAGCATGGCCTTGTTGTCTACGTACAGAATTGGAGGAGAACGAGGCGGCTCTCCTAGGTCAGTCAGCAGGTAGGTGAGCCAGCGTAGCTCCTGTGCAGCCATGGCCCCCGCGTAGATCTCAGCCTTACAGCTAGAGCCGAGAACAGAAGACGAGCGGGTAGACCGCCACGAAACAGAGCCGGAACCAAGGCTGAAGGTGTAACCCTGCGACGACCGCTGCGTAGCCTGGTCGTCAGCCCAAGAAGCGTCTGCGTGACCTGTGAGGACCGCTGAACGCCGCCCTCCAAGCACTAGCCCCATGCCCAACGAACTGCACAAGTAGCGCAACACCCTCTTCGCAGCAGCCATGTGCTCTGGTCGGTGTCCCCCAGGAGCAACATAGCGTGCCAAGATGCTAAGAGGGTATGCAAGGTCAGGTCGTGTGTAGGTCATCAGATACATGAGGCAGACAACAAGCTCTGGGTACGGGCCACTCGGCTCTACGGACTTATCCGAAGGCAGAGCTGAGAGCGAGTGGCGAGTAGACAGAGGAGTGGCCTGAGGCGAGAAATACGTGAAGTCGAAGCGCTGAAGGACGTGCTGCACCATGTGTGACTGAGTCAGAGTAATGGTGCGCTATGCGACCTGTACGTGCTCCTGGACTAGCCGTCACCTTGCGACATTCACTCGATGGCATGGGTCTAGTCTGTACACACTGACCCTCGCGTTTGCACAGATGGCTGAGTCAGGTCAAGTGGCTGCGTCGAGTCAGGTGTCTGCGTCTGGTCAGCTTGCAAAGTCTTACTCGTGTCGGGTCTACGGAGATAACTGCTGCAACGGGAGCTAGACTACGGGCTAGGCACGTGTGCTCGTGTGATCTCTGCGTTCGTTTACTTAGTGGTTTCCTTGTGTTTACGCTTCTTGCTAGTTCACGGGGAGAATTGGCTAGAGTTTCACGGCAGACTCACTAGCACCTAGTGCAGCAGCCTCGACAGAATCAGCGACACATCGGTGAGGAACCAACTCACTGCGGGGAGAAGGTCTCGTGCTGACTCTGCTGCCGCCTCTTTGCAGTACGCAGAAAACCAAAGCCTTCACCACCTGGACGGGCTCGCTTAAGAACCCACTCGCGAAGCTGCTAAGGGGTGGGGTTGTCCGGGAGAGGCAGTGACCGCCGGTGTCCACCCCTAGCTGCTGCAACTGCCGTGATAGTGGCCATGACTGGCAGTTACGGTCAGTAGTAGGTCCAGTACCTCCATCACCAGCAGCACCTTCGGCACTCCCAGTCACACCTCCAGCACCCCGATCAGCACCCCCACTAGCAGCAGCAGTAGCACGAGCAGCAGGGCGGCTCGGGTTGGGCAGGTCGGCTCGGGCTGGGCGGCGCGGCTCGGCCTGGGCGGCGCGGGCAGCAGGGCGCGCGCTGTGCAGGGCAGCAGGGCGCGATGCGCGGGCTGCAGCAGGGCACGACGCGCGGGCTGCAGTAGAGTGCGACGCGCGGAGCAGCCGAGCGCGACGCGCGGGCTGCAGCAGGGCGCGACGTGCGGGCTGCAGCAGGGCGCGATGCGCGGAGCAGCAGAGCGCGACGTGCGGGCTGCAGCAAGGCGCGACGCGCAGGGCAGTAGTGCGCGAACCCTGCAGACGCGACCCTGCAGATGGGGTGCGCTGGGACAGGAGCTTCTCGCGGGCAGAAGGGGCGCTCGGGGCAGGGGCTGCTCGCAGGCAGCAGGGACGCGCTGGGGCAGGGGCTGCATGCGGGCAGCAGTGGCGCGCTGGACAGGGGCTGCTTGCAGGCAGCAGTGGCGAGCCGGGGCAGGGGCTGCTCTCGAGTAGCAAGGGTGCGCGTGACAGTAGGGCAGCGCATTACGGCAGGCAGTGCGAGTAGCTGCAGGGCAGCGTGACACTATGCGAGAGGGCCGGACAGCGCAAGGGCGCTTCGGACAGGAACTTCACAAAAACGATCAGTGGGCCCTAAAACTGCAAGGTTTCCTACTCTGCAGATTGCGTCACTTGAAAACCTCTAAAATATTTTTTAGCGTTTCTGCTGAGTGTTCCACTCGTACAGTGCATAAACAAGCCATACCTAGTGATTTCCAAGTGTACATACGGTATACCGTATCACACATACCTAGCTGTCAGTTATTGTGCATGAGAGCAAGCATATTTTCTTACCAGTATTACCGTACCATTACCACAGTCTTGGCAAAGTTATGATCGTACTTGCTCAGCGTAAGCTTGTGCAAGCTGGGCCTTACGGTCCTGTAAACCACCACAGTAGTGCAGAAAAGGAACATCGGCAACTTAGTGCAAAACAAGCACCAAAATTATTGATATGCGCAGCAAGCCGACCTCACCTCCAGCTCCCTAATGAAGTCCACAGCAGAAGCTAACAGCGATGCCATGTCTGTTCTAGATGACTGGTTTGACTTGTGTTTCAGACGCATCCACGAGGGAGGCATAACCTTTTCAAGCCGCTTGAATCCAGCACCGCAAAACAGAACATGGGGGGCAGCAGAGGCACAAGATAACCGTCTTAATCTTCAACAAACCAGTTCGTTACAAGAAGTTAAACCAATTCGCGCAAAGCTGTGATTACCTGATCCGGTGTCTTCTAAGCTTCTCTGTAGCGCTCCGGCGGTGAATAGGCGGCCGCTCCAAGCCCAGCCCTTTGCCATCCGCTTGATCCCTCTGGGTTTGCTCTGCAGAATCTGCTGCCTGGGCTGCCCCTTGTGAAGCCACTGACAATGCCGACAATGGATCCAACACTCTTGCCCCTTCAGTCGCAGCAGCAGGTGGATGGCTCACAACAGCAGAGCCGGCGATGCGTACGGTAGATCCAACGGCAGGGATTGGAGCTAGCTGTGCCCAGGAGGATAGTGGAGCAGACGCTTGACTGCCGGCTGCGGGAGAGACTGACCTGGTAGAACCATTGTCAGGGCGCTTGAAACCCACTCCATCACCACCCACCACCAAACACTGCTTCTTCTGAGGTTGCATGGCCGGGGCCTCAGCAATCAAATCTTCGTCCCACCAGCTGGCGGAACCCTTGCGCTTGAATCCTCCCGATACAATCATATCGTACAGACTTCCCTCTCGGGTTGCTGCTAGTAGGGTTCCGTCTCGCATGCTGCCTCCAGACGATTGTGTCGATGTTGCTTGCGCTGATCCCAGTGATAGCGGTGCTTCTTGCTGGAGAAAATGAGACTGGAAAGTCATGCTGGGCACGTTGACAGGCAATGCAGCAGGAGCAGGAGAAGCAGCAGCAGCAGGAGGAGGAGGCGGAGGAGGAGCAGGAATAGCAACCGGAGTGCTCAGCAGCGAGTGGATCTGACGATGGGCTGCAGAAGGCGATGCCATACGTTGTCGAGGCGACTCACAGATGGGTAGTGCAGTAGCAGCTGGAATGTTCAGCACCGGATGGATCTGATGACGGGCTGAAGCAGGCTCTGACGTTGATTTCTGAGGCGGCTCACAAACAGGCGGTGCAGCAGGAGGTGAAGCCATCACCACTGAAAGCGTCTCATCATGGGATGAAACAGGCGAGGGAATCACTGCTGCTGCTACCATCTGTGCGAAACTTAGATCTATCAGTGAAGGCTGAGTCATCATGCTGACGTATCCTCCTCCGCTTTCTGAGATGCTGACATCTGTCATGCCTCCTGCACGGAGCAACCCGGACTCAGATTTCAATGCCATGACGTCAGGCCACGCTTCCACCTGGAACGAACCGTGGAGCACTGACACTTCCGCCGTGCTGTGCGTGCCGCATGGCGGCGGGCGCGATTCTTCTGTGGCACTGGACGTCAGTTGGGCCGTGCAAGTTCCCAATGGCACTCGAGCATAATGGCTGCTCCCACCCGCCGCGGGTTCCCATTCCGTCGCTCCTGCGGTTCGCTGCACCTCCTCCCCCGCCGTTTGCTGCGCCTTCCAGGAGATGTGTATTCCGTCACAGTCTGCTGGGCACTTTGACGAGCACTGCAAGTCCAGAAACGGCAGCAGGACGGCGCTGCTACTAGGGACCTCCATGTCTGTGGTGGTATTAGTGGACTGACTACTACACGACCCAGATGACACAAAAGCAGTAACTTCTCGAATGGTAAGGTTAGGATATAGCTGAAGGATACAACTGACTCAAGAAGCGATCACCACTTCTATAAGTAGCAGCCGTGAGGATTGAGAATTGAGCGTGAGAGCTGCGGCCGCAGCGACGACTGCTGGGGAAATTGACAGTGAACGCGATGGGCATTGTTGGTCCAGTTCACGTGAGTAGTACTGCTGGTGGTGGTGGGGTATCAGTACACGAATGGAAAGAAACGATGGGCCATTCGTGCGGCTGCGAGCGACCATGGTAGACTTTCCAGCAGGTGCCCCGTAAGTACTCCCCGCATAGTAGTACAGGGCACCAGTGACTCCATGATGCAATTGTCGCACCCATCACATCTGTGACGTCAACGCTGACGCATCCTCGAAGTACAGGTTACTCTAACCAAAATTCATACAGTAGGCTCGGACTCGCAAGCGCTTCGAACGCCCGAACGCCAATCCAGCCGGCGACGGACTGTCCAGCCGTGCAGTTTCTTGCTCGCTGGCATCAGGCTGATCAAGATTCTGTTCACCATGCGTACGTACAAAATTAATTAAAATGTAGGATAGCGCGTGCTAGCCCTTTCTTGAAGAACGACAAATTCCTACATTATGGTTTACCAGCATACGACATTCGGAGTTGACGTTACATAAATGGAACCAGCAGGGCTAATCACTAAGTCCTATCGGTGTCTGACTTCCACACAAGGCCGGCTTTCAAGTGGCCTTAAAACTACAGATGACTACAAAGGCCGTGAAATCGCCACCGTGAAATCGCCGCCAGATGCTAAAATGGCGACGTAAGCAAATGCGAGGAAATATGTCAAGGTGGAGGTGGATGCGGAGTTCGGCAGTTTAGGTAAGTTGAAAAGCGGTGAGCATCAGGCGCACGCGAAGGACAATCTGGATAAGAACGAATCCTGCCAATGTGGTTGCACTACTAACGCGGACAATCTCGCAACGCTAGGGAGCCTAAACTGTTGACGAGACGACCTCAGGTTGCCATCTATAATTCTTGTGGATTGGAGGGTATTAAGAGCCCAACAACGAATCGTGTAGGATTGCGTTGCGTGGTGCTTTGTGACGTCAGCTCAGCATGACAGGTGTCCACAATGGTTCTGGTGCCCCCAAAATATGGATATTGTATGCTGACCTTGGACCAGATGTGCCTTGCTGTACCGTGTCACACGTGGCGCCACTTGGGCAGTTCGTTGACTCGTTCACATCCCACTTCCACCGGCCAAATTATGCCGTGTATTGCTACGGTAACTCAGCCGATAATTTGTATCGTAACTGAAAATACTGTTCTATATAGTTATAAGCACAATTTTGAAACAAAGTCGCCAGGGCCCACGTTATCAGTGTAAATCACCCTGATGCCCTGACTAGAAGGATGATTTTTGGTAGAAACACTGATGCCGTTGGGTAATTTTTTCGGAACCTTGATTTACCCTGATGTGCCAGGTTTTAAGATTAAGGAACACTGTCGCCTCATGGTTGCCGTTCCGCTAATCGAGGTTTATCCTGAAGCGCGTACCAGCGACCCCCCCCCCCCCCCTCCTTCACCTAACCACCCGACCCCGAAACTAGACGGCCGGCGAAAACAGTGGCCCTTCCGACCCCAGCGGAACGAAAAGGCAAGGAGAAAGTGCCGGAGCCAGAGGAGGACAATAACCACGAGCAACAACCATATGGCATCTCTGATGATGATGAAGCTTGTTATTGTGTGCTGTGTTAATAACAAATGAAACAGGGTTTTGCGAATTGGTACACTGATGCCTCAGGGTAGTCGTTTTAATACATGCAAAAACCCTGACGCATAAGGTTTTCCACAACGGGTAACCCTGAAAATAAGGTTTTTGAACAGGTGCTAGACTGATCGTAAGGGTTGGTCAAAACAAAAAATGAGCCCTGGTCTCCACCAGCAGATCCACACATACCCAACATAAACATATTGTTACAGGTGCAATGAATTACATGAAGCGAGGATTGCACTAAGTTGTCAAACGGGTACAACATGAGAGCGAAGGCATGAGCGAACATTCATACGCGAAACATGCAAACGGTAACGCAGTGCGTGCGAGCTAGCTAGTGCTAGGCTGGCATCGAGGCTCGGGCTAGTCGCGAAGCGTAGGCCGACACGGCCGGGCCGGTGGTGCATGGTTTGGTGAAACAGTGCGCGCGAAGTCGGCGAAGCCCCGTTAGCTGTAACGGGCGAACAACGGCTGCTGCTGTACGCGATGTTGTAGGTCGCCGTAAGGAATGTCGAGAAAATTCCTTACACTACCCCTCCTCCCCCCTTCAAGAAGCCCCCTCCGCTACGCGGGTGCGTATATATCGCAGAAACCCCGGCTCCTCAGGTAGACTTGCAGGGCAGGGTGGTTTTCGATGTTGGCTAGGGGCACCCAGCTATCCTTGGTTGGCGTGCGGTCCTTCTAGCGAACAAGGAACTCGATCCTCCTGATTCCCGTGGGTTGTCGAATTTGATGGCTCATAATCTTTTCGGGCTCGATGATCGGCTCCGATGTAGGGCGAGTCATGGATGGTGGGCGGTGACGAGGCACCTGGCTCGTGGTTGGGATGTACGAGCAAAGTACGCTGAGGTGGAATGATGGGCTGATGTACTAGTCTGTCGGCAACAGCAAGTGGGCGGTAACTGGGGTGATCATGTGGCTGATTTGGAATGGTCCATAGTAGCGCAGTTGTAATTTCGACATGACTGGCAGTTTTAAATTATGTGTGTCGAGCAGTACGTAATCTCCTGATTGGTACGTGACTGGGTGGCGGTGGCGGTCAGCGTGGCGTTTTGCGATGGCGTTGGCTTAATTGCTTCTGCGGCTCTTGTTCGGGCAGCTTGCAGAATCTCGGACTCAGCGTCATGTGCACTGTTGGGTTTTGCCCGTGGTTCAGGTACAACGAGGACTGCTGCAACGCTGGTGACGTGGCGTTGTTGTATGCGACCTCGATCAGTGGCAGCTGCTGCTCCCAAGTTGCCTGGTCGTCGTACATGGCCTTGATTAACTGTTCCATCATCTGATTCGTCCGCTCCGTTCGACCGTCGGCGCTCTTACTATGTCCTGGCCGATTGCACGCGAAGCAATACCCTTTGAACGGTGCGGCAGCGACATTCACGGCAACGGCACATATTGTGGTACCCTCGTTCGTCCCACGAGATCGATGTCCTTAGTTACTGCCGCTTCCGTAGGACCCCGGTCTCGGTCGGCGGAAAAAGTCAAGCTTCTCCGCCATGGCGAGAATCTCCTGAAAATCAGTGACGCCGCGGAGCTGAATTTCCTGAGCGATGTCGTGTTTGAGGCCGCCGATGTAGCGGTCGATACGCTCGCCCTCGTGCATATATCCCACTTGCTCGCACAGCGCCAAAAACCCGCTAGTGTAGTCGTGGACGGAACCGAGTTGGCGCCAAGTGCGGAGCTTCTGACGCGCCGCGATCGAAGTCGCGATTGGCTCAAATTGAGCGCGCAGACCTGCGCATCACGCATCCCACGTGTGATATTGGGGCACCTCCACGAAATATGACGACGCCCAGGGTCCGGTTTGTCCTTCCCGTGTCGGTAGAGTCGCGTAGTCGTTCGGCTTCGTGACGATGACACGCCACCAATCCATGGCGGGTCCTCGCAGCAGTGACACGGCGTAGCGGATCTTCGCCGTATCCTCCGAGACGTAGTTCGCATCGAAAAGCACGTTCATCGTGAACAACCATGCCTGAACGACAAGACCACCCCGTTGACTCGGGTCAAAACATGGTGGATGTTGCGACTTCAGCGGCATCGGTGAGGGTAGTGCCGAATCGTTGATCGGTGCCGAAATCGTGACACGAGGCTAGTTCCTGGCCGCATTCGTCGCTTCGGGGTGTGTCGTGCCGTGGTTGTCGTCTCCGCCGTGGCGGACGACGCCATCACTAGCTGCGTTCGCAGGTTGCCCCACACTTCCGTGCTGCGATGCTTGTGGTGCAGGCTGTATCGGAGTGCCAG